TCCTTGGGGTCCAAGGTCTCATCCCTGGGAGGGGGGGAAATGAGGGGGTTACTCGGGGACGGCAGGAGGTTCCGGGGTTGACAGTGGCACAGGAAGAAAACAAGGGATAAGCAATAAAAGTCATCAATAGGCTTCAGAGTAGACAGGAATTATTAAAAAAACCAAGGAGGGAGAAAACACTTAATAGCATCAGCATGTTCCAAAGTTCACAGCGGTTGTAGTAGTTAAAAACTGGCTAAATACTATCAGCAAGTTCCAGAGTTACAATAATGATGAAATATCACTACAACTCCTCAGTATGTTCCAGAATTATCCCTTTACCATAAAAACATGAGAAACCCCCATATACTGCAGCCTTTTAAAAGCTCTCAGCAGTGCTCAGAATTGTCCCCTTTCCTCTGGGGATGTTCTACACAAGGGATGATGGCTCCTGGGGTTGCTACAAACATGCTCCAGGGTAAGTGTCCCCCTCCCAGGATGCTTCTTGGGGGCTGTTATCATCAGGCTCCAGATTTAACACCCCTGACCCCTGAAACGCTGTCTCCTGCAGCTGTTATCAGTAGGTTTCAGAGTTAATGTACTACACTCATCACCTCCCCAAGAAGGCTGTTTATGGGAACGGCTATCATTAGTCTCCTGAGTGAACCCACGCCGGGCACCGGCTGTTCCCCAGAGCTGCCGTCAGTAGGCTCCAGAGTGAACATCCCCCAAACCCCCATTTCCCAGAGCTGCCATCTGTAGGCTCCAGAGTGAATGTCCCCCAAACCCCCATTTCCCAGAGCTGCCATCAGCAGGCTTCAGAGTGAACGCACCGGAGGCGTGCGCGGAGGCGCTGGGCCAGGTCGGCCATGATGGCGTGGCTCTCGTCCTCGATGGCGCGGAAGGAGGGCAGGTGGCGGTAGTGACGGAGCACGGCGCGGGCGCGGGCATGGCAGCGCAGGGCCCGCGCAGGCTCCCCCCCGGGCGCTGCCCAGCGCCGCAGCCGCCCCGGCACCTCCACCAGGGACTGCAGCTTCCGCAGCAGCGCCTGCACCCCTGGGGGGCCGGGGCAG